ATACTAATATCAACTAACCACCGCGCGCACGCCGGGCATACAACACGGCATACAACACTAATATAATATCAACTAACCACCACGGGCACGCCGGGCATATAATACTAATATCTATAACTACCATGGACATGCTACTTACCTATATATATCCCTATATATATATATATTTACCTACTTACTCACGTACATACCTGCCCTACTTCCTTACTCTTATACCTACCATCTGTAATATATATATATATATATATATATGCCTTTATATGGATAATTATATATATATATGTACTACTATCACATTAAAATTATATAATAATTATATATTCTCTTCCCCCTCTACCTCCTGGCTCACCCCGCGCAACTAATAAAAACTCTTAAATAACTGGCTGTGCCCATGCGTACTGCGCTGCCCTAACCACTTGGTAACTGCTTCCACGTCCTGGCTGTCCTCCCTATCCCCTTGCAACCGCCGCTGCCACGCTGCCTGCATGGCCGTTCCCCATGGCCCATATAACATCGACGCCACCATGGGGATCAACACCCCGCGGAACTCGCACCCTGTGGCTCCCTTCCACCCATGGCATATTTTCTGGGGCATCCCGCATGTTAAACATCCAATTTACCGCGCGTACTGGATCCTCCGCCGTACCTGTACCATCCACTTCTTCGCCGCCTGGCTGCTGGCATGCCTGCATGAATATAAATCATGCTGGTCCTCCCGCTGCGCCATCGCGCATATATAACATCGATCCTGCCACTGCCGCGCCTCCTGCTCCCTAAATTCCTCGTCTAACCACTGCCGCGCGTGCTCCTGCTGGAAATACATATCTCCTGCCGCCCACTGCGACGCCTGCGATGCCTGGGATGCCTGGCTGCTGGCTGGAACCCTAACCACTAGTGAACCATTTCGGCCAACCTCACCTGCTTTGTGGCGGCCGGCATCGGGCCTGCTGCTGCCTGGAACTGATCTGATCCCTAACCCTAACACTTCCGCGGTGGCTGGTGGTGTCATGGCGGCCATGGCGGCTGCCTCTGCCTCTGCCTCTGCCTCTGCCTCTGGTGGTGGTGGTGGTGCTGGTGGTTCGTATCTAATCTGGCTGATGATCGATCCACTGCTCGCGGGGCTATCATCTCCTGGTCTGACCCCCTGTCCATCCTCTCCAAACCCTGACCCTGGCTGGGTTGCTTGCGGCGTGGTGGCCTGCACGGGCCTGCGCGCTGGTGCATCCTTCCAAACCCGAACCTGAACTGCCTGCGAACCGCTTGTGCTGGTGCTGCTGGTGCCGGTGCTGGTGCCGGCCGTATGCTGGGCCTGCCAACCGGGATTACATTGGTCACACGCCTGCTCCTCCTCCTCCTCTGCCTCTGCTGGGGCATCCCCACACCGCCGCCGCTCGTATCCATTAATAATCCCGTCCAAATTCCCGTCTAAATCCACCCGCCGGCACCCTCCCGCGTGTATATATCTCTGTACCTGCTGTGCCTCCACATCCTCATCCTGATCCTCTGCCTCCTCCCGTGCATGGTGACCACCTGCGCCGCCATGACCATACTCGTCCATCCCATCTGGCTGGATGATAATGGCCTCACTGGCCTGCCTGTCCCGCCCAGCCCGGCCACTCTCCTGCGCGTAATCCAACAACGTCCGCGGCATGCTAATGTGGATGATCACCTGGATGTCTGGGATATCCACCCCCATGCCTAACGCGTTGGTGGCCACGATCACGTCCGTGGTGCCCTGGATGAACCGCTCTAACACCCCTGCGCGGTCCACCTGCCTGCTGTGGTATGCCTCGCACCTGAATATCTCTGCCATGGCCTGCACCTGCCGCACCGCGTTCGCATATATCACTACCTTCCCCCCACCGGCCCGCCGCGCCTGCTGGATGCGCGCCTGGATGAATGTAATGATACTGGCATCCTGCTGCCACTGGTACGGGCTGGCCACCACGGGCCGCCACACGCGGTATGCCACGTTGCTGCGGCTGGTGCGTGCGCGATATATATATATCTGGTCGCGCGGGTAATGGATGCGCCGGCTGAACTCGCCTTCCAACTGCGGGGGTAACGTGGCGGTTAAATACACCATCGGGCACCGCGCCCGGACTAACCAGCCTAACTTCGCCATCTGCGGCCGGAAATCCTTCTGGGCATTCATGATGATATGGCATTCGTCCACCACCACGTGGTCCAACCGACGCATTATCACCAACTGGTTGATAAACGTTTGGAAATTGCTTGTCACCGCGGACTCGGGCGTCACTAACATGATGGCCGCCTCGTCTGGCGGCCGCTGCCGGTCCCACGCCACGCATGATACCCTAACCTGCCGGCACCGCCGCGCCATGTCCTGGCGTAATGATATTAACGGGACCACCATGATGGTGGTGCCGCCGGGCACGGCCCACGCGGGTAACATGAATAACATGCTCTTGCCACCCCCCGTGGGCATGATCGCCACCACCGGGCTGCGGCCCTGCTGGATGGCCGCCATGGCGGGGCCCTGGACCCCGCGGAACTACATGCGGGCCTGGCCGGTCATCTGCTGCATCGCGGTGGTCATGTCCATGGCCTGTAACTGCTGCCGGCGCTCCCACTGGTGCTCCTCGGCCTCGGCCTGCCATGGCGCGCGCTTGCGCTTGCCTAATGTCGTAGTGGCTGGACTAACCCTAACCCTAACGTTGGCATGGCCGCTGGGCTGCCCGGGGCTAACCCCAACTGCTTGGGAACCGCTTGGGGCGCGGGCCCCGCTGCTTGCGGGCTGACCACCACCCTCCTGCGCATGGCTAACCCTAACCCTAATATCGGTGGTGGTGGTGGGATGGTGCTGGTCCGGGCTGGGCGCGCGCGGGGTTTGCAACCATGGTTATAAATGACCTGTGACGCCAGCTGCCTCATCTATGGTGGCCAACCATGGTTGTAAACCGCTTGGGGCGCGGGCCCTGCTGCTGGCGGGTTGACTACTATCATCCTGGCCCTGGCTGCGGCTAACCCTAACTACTTGCGAACTGCTTGGGGCGCGGGCCCCGTTTCCTGCGGGTTGACTACCATTATCCTGGCCCTGGCTGCGGCGAACCCTAACTGCTTGCGTACCGCTTGGGGCGCGGGCCCCGTTACCTGCAGGTTGGGGCTGACCACCACCACTATCACCCTCGTCATCCTGGCTGAACCCTAAAAACTCATGCCACTCCACGCTGGACTGCCAGAACATGGCCCGCCGGTGGCTGGTGGTGCCCGCCTGCTCCATGATCTACCGCGCGTACACCATCCCAGCCACGTGCGACGAATGCGCTGCCTGTAAATCCGTGATGTGTGCCATCCACTGCTCCGCGTCCATCCCCTCCTCATGGTCAGCATTGAATAACTCCATCGCGGCTGGCTGCTCCTTCTCGTCATGGGCGTCGCTTCTGAACGCGCTGGCCCCGCGCATGAACCGCTGGCTAATCCTAATGGCGATGTCCCGGTACACGGGGATGTTCAATGCCTGGCCTAACCGCGCCTGCGTCTCGCGCTTCAACACCTCGCGGAACTAGTCGGACGTCCATGCGCGCTGCGTGCCGGCATCGGGGCCCTATAAATACGGGCTGGCTAACCCTAACCCTAACCCTGATGCTGCGGCGGCGGCGGCGGCGCCTGCGGGTTGGCTGGATGGGCGGGCTAACCCTACCCTGGGCGCGCGAGCTTGGGCATCCTCCCTACCCCTATCAAACCCTAACCCTAATGCCCTGCCTGCCGGTGGCTGGGCTACTGGCTGCGCCGCTGGCGGCTGCTGCTGCGGCTGCTGCTGCTGCGCTGCCTGCCACGCGGTCAACTGCTCTGTGAACGGCAACACCAACCACATGTACCACACGATCAACTCCCCCACCGCCCGCGGCATGTACCGGTGGATCAGCTTGATGTCATTGCTCGCGTGGAACCCCTTGTGGTACGCCGTCACCGCCGTCACCAGCCCATCCTCGATGAATATATTGCGGTGGCGGCTAGCCTGCGTGTTAACATGCTGGATGCTCAATAGCTCGGGCGCCCGCGCGGGCTGGCTACCTGTGATGTGGATGGCCACCGCTAGCTTCTCCTTGAACCGGGCCACGCGGGCTAAATACTGCGCTACTAGCTGGGCCTGTATCTGGCCGCAGCGCATGAACTGGCGCTGCATGGCGGGCTCGCTGCGCAGCTGCTGGATCAACCACTGTTTCCCATCTACTAGCCACCGCGTGCGCGTATCCTGCAAAAAACACCACCCCTTCTGGCCCTGCGTGGGGTCGTCGTACAATCCGGACCATGGGATGGGTGGGAAATCGGTGGTGGTGTTGCTATTACTGGTGTTGCTGGTGGTGGTGCTGGTGGTGCTGGTGGTGGTGGCGGTTGGGGTTATATATAATACCTCCCGCAGCAGCTCACGCGCGGATCCTACCAACCCATGAACGAACCCGCGGAACGCGCCCATGGTGAAATGCACGTCCTTGTATAATAACTCATCGCTGCCCATCCATCCCACATGCCCTGGCGTGGTGGTGTTGTAATGCACCTTTAACCCGTACGTGCGCTAATCTAGCAACGTCTGTATGGGGCCGTGCGTGCCGCGGATCATGAAGCTGCGCACCATCTGCTGGACATGGTCGTGGAACAGCTTCCCACCTAACCCTGATCCTGATCCTGATCCTGATCCTGGTGGTGATCCTGATGGCGATCCTTGGGCTGGATCCCCTGGATGGATATGGATATCCACCAGCTGGTCGTCGGCGC